TAAAGGACAATTTTCTTTAACTTAGCAGTATGTCTGTCATATAGTTTTATATAATAGTTTAGCTTAATCCCTCTAACATAATTGTATAGTACAGAGTGCCAACTGAGGCAGTATTCCATTGTTATAGTTATTAAATAAACTGTTAATTTACTGACATTCTTCTAAATCTAAATATCAAATTAAACCTTCTGCTTACCACCCATAAATATTGCTTCGCTTATCATTTATAAGCATCTTAAAGAACTGACTGTAACAATACTTTAGAACTATTATAGAACTGATATAAAAATTAGCAAGAAGCTAAAGAATTTTTATTAGTTTGTTAGTTTCAGCTTATTGTTATATTAATTGAATACTAAAATATTACATTTAAAATTATAATTAAAATTATAGAATAGTGCTAGTTGAAATTTTCTGTGCATATTAAGTAATTATAATTGTATTTTGAAAATATCTTTAGAATCTTTTAGGACTTTAAGCATTTTTCAAATAATTTTCATAGATCAATTGAAGAATTAGCTAGTTGGTAATTCAGAAGTATAATATGCATTATCATAGCTGACTTATTTGATTATAATCTTTATAATTCAACTATTTCTAAATTAATCAATTATATAATGTTAGATCATTTTAGTTTTATATTAAGTGATTATTATAAATAATTTTTTAGAATTTTATAGTTTAAGTAATACAGTTAGTTTTATTTTTAATTTTTTAATTATTAATATCTTAGATTTCATTAATCAAAATTTTAGATATATATCAAAGTTAAATAAGGATTCTAAAATATATATATAAGAGTTAAATTATTTTTGAATTTTTATTAAGTTTATATGTAGAGATATTTTATAATATCAGTATACAAAGTTAGTATATAATATTGAAAAATCAGAAAAATAAGCAAACTTAATCTTCTGATCTCTAATTATTAACTGATCAAACATTTTCTATTCATGTTATTAATAATGAAAATTTGCCTTAGAAAAATGATTTACAAAAGTCATTGAATTTAATTTTATATAAATCATATTAAAAAAAATCTTGATTGATATATTGCATTAGAAAATCTAATTGATTTATCTAATTTATAAAATTACAAAATTTATCTGATTCACTTGATTTATTTAATTGGCTTATTTTATTAAATTCTTTACATATTTATTATTTTTATTATTTCTTTTATTTTTATCATTATTATAATTTATCTTTTATTTTATATCTTTAGTTTATTTATTTTTATTATTATTTTAGAGCTAAAGTTTACTAAAATAGTTAGTTTATAGCATAGCAAGTAATTAGCTGTAGCAAATTAATTTTATATAAATAGAATAACTTTTTGCTTAAATTGTAAATTAACTCATTTATAAATTTTATATAAGTATCAGTATTATAAATAAAGGAATTGATTTAAATCTATAAAAATTACTTTTTCCTTTAATATTATCTCTTATCTAGAATTTGTTGTGATATTATATCCTATACTAACTTGCTATTGAATTCATTATTATGAGTTTAATTAAATTCTAAAATATAATAAATTGTCAAGTTGATTTAAGTATAGCAAATATCTATAGAACTTAAAGAAAATCCTAAAGTCAGAAACTTTAACGTGTAGAATCAACTGTCACAGTTTTTTGATTTAGATATTAAGATAAGTGAAAACAAACCTGATGATAATGTTTATATTTTTTATAGCAATTAAAATTTATTATTAATAAAGTATAAATATTATAATTTATTATAATTATGATTTCAAATAATTATTTTAATTATATTATTTTGACTAAAATAATCAAAATAATACCTTTTTTTATTATCTTATAATTTTATTATATTTTCTTTAATTAATATATTAGTTATTTAATATAATAAAAAATATTTGAGGCAAGATAATAGGTTAAAGATTATATTCTTTTTTAATTAAATCATTAAATCAAAAAATAAATTAAAATATAAACATGTAAAGATATATCATCAAAATTTATTATTTCCTCTTTAATATAATAATAATATTTATAAACTTTAAAATAAATAGCAATAGCTCATTTTATACATATTTGTTTGCTATATAAAATAAATACATAATCTTCTTAATTAATGAAAAGTCTTTTGATATATTTACATTTTTAATATTTGATACTTTTTATAAAATTAAATAAATTAGTAATTAATTAATTATAAATTGCAATAGATAATAAATAAAATATTTTATTTTAAATAAATAAATGTATATTTCTTTAATTAATTTTTAATTATGTAGCCAATTCTTCAATATGAATTTGAGCTAAAATAATTAATACATTTTTATGATTTTATTTTCATTATTTTTTTATGTTAAATAACAAATTGTTATTTTAGACATTTATTTTTAGTAAAAATAAAATAACTAGTTTTATTTGTCTGAATAAAATAGTTGATATATTTATTTTTATAAAAATTATTTGAATTCATATTCAAATTACTTTGAAATATAAGCTTTATGTCTTTATTATTACTATAATAGGTTTTCAAAATCAAAATTATTTTTCAATTCAAATTGAAAACTAAAATTAATTGTTATATATAAGAATTATTTAATTAATAAAGAATAATAATAATTAATAACTTAACTTTACTTACTATTAATTTTATTATACAAAACAAATAGATCTTCAGAAACTTAATCAATTTTAATTAATTATAATTATTTTTTGTTAAATAAATTAGATAAATATTTTCTTCTATTGATATATATTTTATTTTATTAAAAAATTATTATTTAAGAAATATCAATTTCTGTATTTTTATCTTATTTTTTATTATTTTATTTTAAGAATTTCTTTAAATATAGAAATTTCTTTTTCATGTATACTAATTAATATTATAAAAAATTTTATTCAAGAAAGATGTCTGCAAATTGAATTATTCTGCAAATTTATAAGTTAAATAATGAGAATCTTTATTATTTATTTATTAGTTAATTAAAGTCTTAATATTTCTAATATTGATTCTTCTAAATTATTGAAAAGATAATCAAAATTTTAATCATATTTAAAGATTTTAATTAATTATAAGTATTTAATTAATAAATTACATAATTAAAGATTTTTAGTAATACTAACCTTAATATACATTTTTTTGATCAAAAACTAACTTTTCTGAACTAAAAGTTTTAGTATACTATAATATTTTGGGAAGTATTTGAATTAAATCTATAAAATCAAAGTCTAGATTTAATTGATATGTGATACTAAAGAAGTATTTAGTTTGATTCAATTTTATAGAATTAAATAAAAATAGTATTTGTAAATAATATTTTTAATAAGTTTTAACTAGTAAAATAGTGATTTATAAAGAAAAATAAAAATAGCAAATATTTGATTTGCTAAAAAGTTTTGTTTTAATAAAATAAAATCAGAATATTTCTGTAAAAGAATTTTTATATGAATATGCTATAGTTGAATAAAAAAAAATAGCTAATCATAACTATTTTTATTCATTCAAGTAATGCAATCTCATATTTTAAGTAATTATCAATTATTTTACCTTTAAAAATAAAAAATTAATTAGTATTTTATTATTAAATAATAATGATTAAAAATAATTAATGAATTGTAAAAAATGATCAAATCAAGCTAAAAAATTATCAAATATTGATAATTGTGCTTTAGATATTATAGCATTTCTTGCTATTTATTTTGCTATGTTTAGGATCTTAAACATGTATTACAAGATCAATACAGTTAAAATAGAACATGTAAGGTTAATATTTAATTGAAGTTTTATTATTGTTAACTTTGCACTTGTTTGAATATTAATAATAAATTATTATATTTGATATTCTGTTATAATCCTGTCAAAATTTAAAGAAAGTACATGAAGATTGAGTTGTAATATAATCTTTATAATTAATTGCTTATGCAATTTTAATATTGAATCTGCTATACCAGCTTTTTTTATTTAAAAGTAATGCAATAATTATTAGAGAAAATGCTGGTAAGGGTATCTTGTTTATAAAATATAAATCAATTATATTTTTAATTAAAAAAGTATATCAATATTTTAAAAAAATATTTTTATATCTGTTATATATATACATGAACATTTTTTTCCATTCCATTTTCTAATTTAACTTTATTAATTATTCTTAAAATATTATTATACATATTAATTTCTGTTTCTTCTTTTGATAATATTGATCCAATTATACAACCAAGATTTGAAGAGTATCACAATTATGGTTTAAGTTTTGTATCATCAGTCATTACACAAATCGGTCCATTATAATTAATTGTATCAATTAGTCTTTTAACTCTAACTATATTTTCATAACATAATTCTGGGTTAGTTAAATAATCTTCATTCTTTCTTCTTAATTGTCTATAAAATAATTATAAATTATTAATAAAATTTTAAATAATAAAAATAATAAATAATTATACCGAATTGACTGAATTGATCGACCTTCCAAATTTTGCCGAAATAAATCCAAAAGCTCTTGAACTGATCCCTCCCTCCTAATATAATTAAAAATTAATAAATTCATCACTATAATTTAAATCTTTTTTGTATTTTTTTTTTTTATTTTTTTCGTTCAATTGCATCGTTCATAACTTCACAAAAACTAGTGAATACTAGCATATCCTTAAATCATTCTTTATAGCCTTATTAGCAGAACAATCCATAGATATTCCGATACCCTGGTCGGCCGACCTTTTCTCAATTTATTCATATTACATACTAATAAAGAATTTGTATTTGATTGATTTTTAAAATGTGCATGATTTTTAATGTAAGCTGTATTTTTTAACGAAGCATAATAATAAGCAATAGCACATTAGTGCAAATTTTTACATATCTATATATTTTTAGTAATGAGGAGGAGTGTGTATATTGAAGAATCACATATGCGTATTAAAAGAAGTTGATAGAAGTGATAGAAATTATAAAAAATATGTGCAGATTATTACTACTCTACATGTTATCAAATATTTCTTGTTGGATATCATATAAATCGATAACTACATTATTCGCGATCGTTGACGAGGACACCCTCTGTAAATACAATGTGGTGAAATATTCAAAGTACACATTCCTTGAGCGGTGCATCCGTTATATGGTCGATTTCTTTCATCAATATTTCCAAATTCAATCTAAAAATGAATACATAAAATGACATCGTAATTAAGCCAAACAGAAATCATCATCTATCATAAATAAACTAATTCTTACTGTTTGAACTGGTAGGTAATTTCCACGTGTATTTCGAGGGCTTCTTCTACGACAGAATTTATAGCACTGCCAGAAACATAAAATAATTATTAGGCGAACAAAATAAGTGAAATGGCACCAAAGAATAATACTGAACTGTTAAACGGCGCAAAGGTGTTCCGTTTTGATCACTTGATTTCGATTTCCATAATTTTAATACAATTACATCTTCTACACGATTTGGGGCTAACCAGAATTGGGTGTCTTGTGGATTATACTTGCAAGAGAATTAGGTTTAATATAATAATATATCTTAAAATCAAACACCGAAGAATACGTACTTGTCGATCCGACAAATTTGACTTTGTCTCGACTTGGCAAATTTGCAAAAGCAGATAAGAATTGTTCGGTGAATTCACCGTGTGCAGCTTCATGATCACGATTTGGCAACTCGAATATGACTACAGTTCCATCTCGATATTCCCAGAATTTTGATGCATTTGCACCCTCACATTTTTTTTCAAACTCCTCATAACTTACATCTTCCACAAGGATCAGAGGGAGTCTAATAAAATGGAACAAATTTTAGACAGTAGGAATCGAATTTATTTTCTCTCTTGCATCGGCTTTGTTGGTAATGACTTCTTCCACATTAGCATCGATAATTTTAATGCACTCCTGAAGCGCCAACAATCTTGATCAGATAAGGAAGTCTCTGAGCTTCTACGAGAACTTTGAGTATGGAAACTCGTGGTCATATAAATACTTTATTATGTGGCTGATTATAACAAAATGTGAGAAATATGAATGATCTGTACGACATATAACTAGGAAACGAATAAGATATATTTTTTTCGGTTGTGGCGTTTTTGCAAACTAATGATCCTTTTTTTCGTACAGATATCCGAGGACCTTACTAGCTTCACTGAATGCAAACAATACAAACTTTCGGTGGGTCTTTACTGAGGTTAATGTTAATTTATTTCTTACACTACAATGTCTCGATTGTCTTATATAACTGACGACCGTTTTATTTTAACCATGATTGGACAAATGGGACCGGATCATGGATTGGGATAATGTGTAATCCGTGGGTATTAGTGTAGAAATACCATTTTGCTTCCACACGAGAGTGATGGAACTCGTAATTTTAACATATATACGATTTAGTGTGTTTATGATCTTTGTGAAAGAGTTTTACATGTTGCTCATTCTGTTTACCTTGTACTTTAGCAAAGCCATACTATGGATAGTAGATGTCAAGTTCTAGGTATTTTCAAGAAATCTGGTCGGCAGGTGGGCCAAGAATGTTAGTTATTGATTTCACGACAGATTTTTATTTAAGCAATATGGGTACCATGTCTTAAATGCTTTATACAATTAAAACTTGAAAACCCTTATTACACATCCATTGCATCGGAACACAGAGATTTATATATTTTGTAGAAAGACACATACCTCCTCTACTGTGGGCGATTTCTTTAGCTTCCACAAGGAAGTTTGCCAGCACATTGTGAGCACAATCTTCCCATATTTTTTATTCGATAAAGGGTTGTAGATCATTCATGACCTTTGGCACATTTTCAAAGCATCGGGGAATCTGTATTAACATATTCTGTAGGAAGGCACTTACCACCTCGTTCTTGTGCAATATTATTTGCTATATCAATATTGAATCGTCGTTGACTACATTTTGGTGCTGTGTATCATGTCTTTGGATTGGAGTACATTCTTGTTCTGGTGTAATTATTTTGTTGTACTGGGATAATCTTTTGGCTTGGTATAACACGTTTTCTGCCTGGTGTACTACACCCAGCCTTCCACTTATGGCCTTCTTTACACTGCCATTCAAGAAATCCCGTCTATCAGTGTCTAAAATTCAAATTTTTTTTACTTGCGGGCCCGCAACTAAATAAGTGGCTTAGATGCGGACGATTAACAGTTGCGTATCCAAATTTATCATAAGTTGCGCTAATTATACATTACTTGCGGATTTATAAATTTAAAAACAAAAACAAAAACAAAAATAAAAAAATTGTATTTATATTTATTTATTATACTCATAAGTTTTATTGAATTCATCAAATTATTGTTTACAATTATTTACTAATACGTCTCGGAAATCTTTGCTAAATATTAAATGCTTTTTTCAAAATCAAATCTTTTAAGCTCGGGCCCATTCATAGCAATCATAAGATGTGAATTAAGAGTTTTAAGTTTCATTTTGTTGCGTACTGTTGTTTTAATAAGATTTTGTTAAGAAAAAATTCTTTCAACATTACCATTCGAAAGTGGTGCAATTAATGAATAATTAACTACTTACATTTAAATCGGATAAAGAGTTGAGAATTGAAAATCGTCTCCATCCATCTATAAAATCAAAATATTGATAATTTTTTAAAAGTAATTTTGTCTCTCGCCATTGTTGAATAAACCTAGTCTTGTTAACCTTTGCAGGAAAAGCTTATCCATTTTGATATTTGGAATTTCCATAAAAATCTTCAAAATTTTTAATTTCATGTTCACCATTGCATTTTATTTTGTTGGATTTGAGAAAAATCAAAAATTTTCATAGTATTATAAATTCCAGTATTTGGAAACCTAAGGCATAGATTATTTATTAATGCAATAGCAAATTCTTTAAATGCTACTGGTTATACATCAGGCTCAATATTAAGTTCAAACATATAATTTCGCAGATAATTTCCAAAGGTTGGTAAATATAACTATATCATCAAGATCATTCCCAATACCAACTAATTCAGTTATAATTGAATCAATCGCTGCATTTAATTGTATATGTTCGTCTGATAGTATAACATAATCCAATTGAAATATTTTTATTAAATTGCTAAAGGTAATGTAAATAAAATATCTGCAAGAAATTGTTGCTAGTATAAATTCTAAATCAATATCTTCATATAATCTTTGCACCTGTTGTCATATTTTGTTACATGAATTATTATTTGCATCATCATCAAGTATATCAATTATTGAAAAGATAATTTGGTGTAAATTTGAAATAGCATTGGAAAGTGAAAACCATTAAGCACTAATAATATGTAAAATTGATAATTGTGGATCTTCTTCATCTAAATTTTGAACCATCTTTAAATATTCCACTATTGATAGGATGAGCCAAAATAAGTATATAATTCTTTTATTATTACTTCATAACTTTCAAAATATAAAACATCTTTAATTGCATCCTTTTTAGCTAAATTTAATTTATGAGCAATATAATTGTCCGAAGCGTAAGCGTAGGACACTTCCATTCAGATCCCAGATTATGCATGCAATGTCTGTCTGCACATGTGTATTGCCCAATCATATTGCTTGATCTTGTGTTACGCATAAAATGTACTCTTTGTTTATTTCTGCTAAATAATAAACAATTAGATCCTGTGTGATGTATAGTTCTCTGTTTATTTTTGCGAAACAATTAATTGTTTTGCTTTTTTGA